TGCAGCAGGGTATGCACATTATACTCGGGAGTTATGAAGTAGCCTCAAACCCGAGTGGATTTGGTGCTCAACATTTGCCGTAAGAATTTTCTGGCAAACCAACGCCTGAATCATTCATTAGCATTGTTTGAAGAGATTTATCAGCATAGCTGAGTCCGTCCGTGAGCGGCGGTTTACCCGACGAGCGGGTCCCGAAGATATACCTACTTCCCAATTGGCCGATAGCCATGGCTCACGATGAGTCGAGGTGAGTCTCCATAGGCGGAGATTACGGCGTTTACAGTCAGTCATCCTGTATGTCCGTTTTGGGTCGCCGAAACCCCTGCAATTCTACCAGGTATACACAAGGGGATACGAGATTGGGCCACCGCATCACGGCGCTATTGACTATATTCTCGACTATACCCGAAGATTTGCAGGGTACAAAGGGCTCATCAACTCTAGTTGTCTATCTCAGACCGCGATAACACACCGCCATGTGCGCACATACATTCTGCAGGCATCTGCACCCTCGGGCATACTATGCAGCATACCGCCAACGTTTATCACGCAGTCAATAGTACAAACCAATCCTTGAGACCACGTCGTCGTAATCGCTGAGTGAGATTGCCGGCACAATGATCGGTGCATAGGCATTGAATTATGCACCGTGTGTTCGTGGCGATTTCCGAATTCTGAGTTTGATATCCGATCTGGATAACTCTGTGGTCCCCGTTTATGTACGCCCGCTCGACTCGCATAACCGTTGACCAATCATATGCGTGTTCTTTCAAGGTCCAGACATCGTGTTGTACGTGTTAATCAATCTCACTGCTTGTATGTACAGACCGAAAGACCCTATAAAGTTCCACCACGCTCACAGTCAAACTGTCAGATAAATGCTATTTAGGATTCAAAATATCAATCAAAGGTACCGGTAACAATGCTAATATCCGAGACAAGGCCCAAAGCCGTTTGGAGACATTCGCTTAATCCGGCTATCGATAACTAAAAACGGAGGCTGAGGACTGCATCCCGGGATGCTGGAGACTTCGGACACTTATCTCCACTACGGGGTAATATCTTCCCGTACTATGGACAGATTTATACCAAGGCCGGAATCCTCTGGTGATCGCATAATCAGCGTCTCGGCCTCGCAATCGAATCGATCAGTACTCCGAAGTATACTCCGTGCCCAGCACGATGTACACTAGCATAACAACAATACCTCGCATGACCTGTTGGCGACATTGTTGGCGTCTCACTAATAGTGCATTATTAATGTTGTGGAACCTGCTAGTACCCTAATCTAACGCCAATTATCAATCCGGAGTCATGGTCTCATACAACCCCGCCCCCGTGTTTACTTTATCTATGAAGTATCGAGCAGAATAAAGTATCTCATTTTATCCCGGCTGACTATTTCCAATAAATCCAACAATCATGATCATGACAACCAATGATCAACATGGCGTTCTTGATCACCGGTTTCACCACAGGATTCCCGAAATAATCACTGCCGGGTCACCAGGTCAGCATATCATTCTGGCAATACTTGTGCCTTTTGCCTGGTTTCATCTTCACCAAGGATTTGGCCCCAATAGACACAGTCAGATACGATTTAGTTATCAGGATGCTATACCATTAATTGATCCATCGCGAGTCATTGATCTACTGTCAGCACCCGGCTCTGCTAACTATCAGGATTGCTTACCTTCCTTTTTATTGACGGTACAGACCCGAATCAGTTGTTTTGCAATATCAATCCTTCACATATTGGTGTCGCGTCTTTCTCCTTGCCAAAAAAATACTACCACAACCGTGGTCCAGCAGACATCCGCTCACAACACTAATCTCAGCGCAAAATACTTAAACACAAGTTTCATCTCAGTCAGTCTGTCCACATTCATCTACTCCGTATGTGCGCGATATAGGTCTCCGTATCCCACCTACATCAAAGTGAGCATGAAAAAGGGCCAACAGTGGGCGACTGTGCTTCGCTTCCTTTCATTCCCCCCCTCCCCGTATCCGTATCCATGCCAGTCAGCTCCGACTCCGCTCCATATAGGTCTACGGTAAGCTCTCTTCCCTCGAAGACCTCGTGATGAATAGATCTTGAAGACCAGGTTGCGGTATTAGCCGTGTTGTTGCACTAGCTATGATCTCTGCAAGGCATGCGTGCGGAATTTTTACCAGTGCACTACTAAACTATATATGTACTCTACTATGCATATGCCCTACGAACCTCATATCAAACCACCTTGACTTTCTTTTCCTAATGTCAACCAAAATTGGTCAGTATCGCTGATGAGTCTATCGGGATTTCTCAAACAGCCATTCAGGCCTCTCCCGGGCGTATCTCACACATTCGTTGCAAGTCACATATTGCCATTTTTCGCGTCCATCCCCACCTCAAATGTAGTAGAGAACAGAGGGAAAAGAGCTTCGCTCTGCATTCTCATTTAGGCAACGGACTTACTATTGGCTAGAAACCAATGGGCTCACTATAGTTTACCTTGATTTATTGTGCTCTGTTCTATCCTAATTAGGCATATATTGACCATACACACTCTCTTCTATGACTTTACTCATCATATACTCGGTGGTTTACTGACTACCTTGCGCCACTGTCAGCTAATGATATTACTGTTTGTCGAAAGTCCCGTTCTCAAAAACTCATTAATAGTCAGGTCCCACAGCCATCCATCGGGAGATGTAAAAATGGAGAAAATGATTCAAAACGAGTATCTGTAGTAGTTGCCCCTCTATATCGATATACAAGACAGAATATGATCCCCGCTCAGCTGAAAGCTCAGTCTCGGGTATAAGGTGGGCAAGTCAGCACTTTTTGCAACATGAATTGTTGTTTTTATCACACCCTTTTTTCCAACCAGACCGTCCATAACAAACCCCGCAAAATGATAACATACGTTAGTCTTTGAGTTCCTGTTGAAGCAACATGCTGACCTGTTCTACCTCCAAGAAGTCCAGTCATTTGGAGAGTCATTGGAAGATCACCTAGACAATGACAATGTCGAACAACAGTAATGCTTTCCAAACACACGAAACCCCAGCATACTTGTCCAACAGCCAAGTAGGATAGAGAACCTACTTGGTGAGATATTATCAGGTGCTTCAAAATATTTCTGTGCTTGGTGTTGAAAGCGACCCTCTTGTATATACCATTTTGTATGACATGGCCATCCTCAAATCATCTCCGTGTAGAATGCTAACGAACACCAGGTTTCCCTGCCAGGATTGCTCACTGATTGACGAAGGTCAGATAGAAATTGCGGATGGAGTCACCACGGGAATTCACCTGGAGGATGATTAATTCGCTTCAGTCATGAGTATTATGGCCATTGTTGGCTAATAATCATGTCTAAATTAGGTAGAGTCTGATTGGTACTGCAAAGCATTGCTCTACCGTCTTATCACTCGGATTGGTCGTTTTATACCATCGCTTTGAAGCCTTACTCTACATGTATCCCGAAGGAACTCTTTGAGCGGGAAGACCTTGATAATGGAGTCACCCCCCTAAAACATGGTAGAAAATACTGCCCGGCATTTCACGCAGGATACCACTGCTCAGAGCCCAAGACTTACCTACCTGCTTCTAATACCCATGTATCACAGACCAGATAAATCCAGTCTACGAGAATCTTGAGTAGACAACTATTACCAACTGCATACTTACCAGCAAAGACCATTCAGCCAGCCATCAACGATTACCCCACCAAACCCTCGATGCAGGAATGAAGAAAAAATGACGCAAGAAGCCTGTCTCAGCTTGTGGTCATCGTGCATACATAGTAAGCACTAGGAAATAGTTCCCGATCTGTCTGGCCTGTGATCCTCCATGATATCCGCTGCTCAGTGGGGCTAAATCTATCACGAGATGCGGTGCATGTCTGAATGTCTGTACGCTACGTGGTCAGGCTAGATTCGATCTTAGATATGAACTGGGCAAGGTTGCTGCGCATTTGTCAAGATTCCATCATACCCCTTTCCCTCTATCCAGGCTACGCAAGCTCCCTGAAAACCACATTGAAATCTGCAAAATGCCAAAATATATAGTCTTTCTTGATGAAGTAACATACTAACCCGTCTTACCTCTACAGGAAGCCAGTATCCGCTTTAAAAGTTGGGAACGTACAAAGGCAATCTAAAGTTCGACTCTCATCTTTGTGTTGTTGCTATATATGTATTGAAATGCTAATGAGCACACTAGTTTCAAAGCCCTAGAGAGCACCACATTGGAAGAACTGAATGAAGAAAGTACAACTTGACGGTGGAACAAACACATCTGTTCAGTCAGCGGAAGGGTTTCAATTCGCGTATGAACACTGGGCTTCTATCAGAGATACACTCTAGCTTTTCCTCGAGATTTATTAAGCCTTGTTTTCTTTCCATCGTGCACAAAGCACTCCCTGGAGATATATGGTTTCATCTCAGTCCTCTGTATCAATTGCTTTCGTCCAATTTTGATGCATAATTCCTTTCTAAACGCAGTTACTTTGTAGAGAATATTGTCTAGCTGTAGCTCCTGTTCCATATGTGATATTCGCCATAGATCTCTCCGTCTCTCAGCCAATACTGCCCAAAGTGCCAGCGGGACTTGTCCGGTTTCATATGCACTTGCTCCTTAGCAGCTATACGGAATGTTTCTAGATAGATCCTTTCTCTATGCGAGGATATGAGCTATAAATCCGGCCATGTCACCTGTCTGTATTCTAGTTCAACGCATCATCGATTTATTTAGTATCTGCCTCTGGAGCGCTTTTTTCTTTTCTTTTCTTTTTTTCGTATAACCCTGTATTTTCTTCCAGATCCGTGTGAAATACGATATGATATGTATTTGCAATATATAAGGCCATGTTTCTCATTGTATTTAGCTCATGAGATCTGATTCTCAAGATGGATTGTTCCGTTTGCATATGCTCGATTTGGTCTGGTACTTACCGCGCGTCTATATACTTTCCTACCTACTACCTGAATCTGAATCTGAAACCGAACACAGAGCCAAAACCAACCTTACACTTGCATTTCAACCAACCTAACTAACTTAATATTGATAAAAATAAACAAGGCCGTCCCAGTTCCAACGCATCGGGTATATTCAAATCATAATAGAGTTCCGAATACCCTATACCCCATACTCCGTATGCTGTACAACTATAACTGTAACTAATATAATGTGGTATCTGCAGAAACCCACCCTGTGCAACACATCCAAAGTTAATCTCTGAAGAATGTAACATGACATGCACGTGCAGGGATCTATTGCAGCTACATCTACCACACCACACGACACCTACACTACACTTCTTACTCGGGATATAAAAACTGACAGCAACCCAGTAACATAGCATTCAACTTCCATGTACACCACGCTCCTCTGCTTCACTTATGTATAAGTACTAGCCAGTAACAGTAAGAAAAGCAGGCAAGAAAATAAAAATAGAGTGTGAAAAAAAGAAAGAAAAAAAAAAAAAAAAAAAGAGAGAAAACAGATAACCGCCCCAGACCGAACCGCCCAAACCATACCATTGCTCATAAACGCGTGAAAAACAACATATAAAGACGAAAGAACGTAACCGCCAGACATTAGTAAACGCAAAGGGGTGTATGCGGTGGGTCGAGGAAACAAGACAAGACAAAACAAAGAGGTATTGCAATCGTGTCATCATAGTAAACAGAAATTCAGAGATGGACGTGGCCTCGCAACCATAACTGCGCGGCCAATATGCAGGTCTATCCCAAGAAAACAAAACTGCCAAAGGAAAGGAAATGATTAGATCTGCGGCTGTGCGGGCGCGGTGGTGGTCCACGGTGAAATCTGCTGGGGATAAGTGGCATGTGCTCCCGGTGCAGTTGCGCCCATGTAATATCGGTTATCGCGCGCGTAGTATGGGATGGACTCCCGACGGGGAATCGATGGATCGAAACCAGCCACTCCTCGGGGCTCCATCGACGGGTGCGATCCATCCAACTGACTCGCGAGGCTGAAACTTCCGCGGGAATAGCTGGCCGGAGTCGATGGGTCGATCGGAGAGGTGGCATCGGTCGCCACGCTGCGCGAAGAGATAGACGCATTCCGGTAGGCAGTCGGGCTCTGCTCAGACTGAGACCGACTCCGATCGCTGCCCAGGGAACTAGGAATAGCAGTGTTCAGAGCCGGGGGCATGGACGAACCCAACGGGTTATAGCTAGGCGGCTCAAAGGCGGCTGTGGTCGCATAAGGAGCTCGGAAAGGTGGGGGGTATTCTTCGGATTTGATGTGTGGTTGTGCTGCTGCAGGAGCTGGCAGGTACGGGTTAGGAGCTGGTTGAGCAGGAATCGGTCCCGCCATTGAATAGCCTGCCATAGGGGCCGGGGGCGGCGGGTGCGCGGGCGCATACGGATTTGGATGCATGTAAAAGTCTGCGTGTGCGGTAGGTTGAATAGCATAGCCTGGGGGCGCCATCATCGGAGGACGGTAGCTGTACATAGCATGGGTGGGATCGTTGGGATTGTCAATGCTGTTGGTCTCCAGGTCATCGATCGGAGCGCGGAAGCTTTGCTTCTGAGTCAATTCCATGCGCGGACGAATGTACTTCAGAGACTCGACCAGCGACGGAGGGCTCAGGACACCGCGCATAACATCATCGACACTGTAATAAGACACGAGGTGGTGTGTCACACCGGCAACGGTCACACTCATGGTCTTCTTCACAAGGCCCGAATCCTTGAAGCCATACGAATCGACAAGCGAACCGACCAGCGCTCGCTCCACCTCCGACTGATGTGTGCGGTCTCCTCCAAACGGACCCGAGGACGAAGGGGATGGGGAGTAGCTCGGGCCCGCGGCCTCATGGCGCGGATAGGGCTCGCCAGGCCTGCTGGGGGGTGCGGGTCGACGGTTGGCCTTCTTCATGGCGCGCTTCTTCTCACCCGGCGGGAAAGGCTTCTCGAGTTCTCGGTAGACGAGGAAGTTGCCAAGAATCCGACTAGGACTCCAGGTCACGCCGTCAGTCCATCGCTTGATGCCAGACGAGTTCTCCTCGTAGATGAAGACGCTTCCACTGCGGACGAGATGACTGCGCTCCCGGTCATGAGGGCGACGCGGAACATGATGCAGGACACCGGTCAGACAAGCTTCGAAGAGAACCAAGGCATCTGTGGTGGTCGCAACATATCCCGTGAATGTGGGCTCCAAGACCGCAGCTGTACTGTTGACCATGATCTCTGTTGTTTGTGTTGTTGTGTTGTTATTATTGTTGCGAGAGCGTGTCAGAGTAGGAGAAAACCTAGGTGCGAGCAAAAGGTTAAGGTAATCGATCAAGGTTGAACCGCCGCGGACCAAAGTTTCGTACAACGCTGGCTATACCCGGTCGAAGGAGTCGAGCTCTCCGAACAAAATAAGGTATATAGAGGAAAAGCAAAAACAAGCACAGATAGATGTGAGTATCGCGACCGTCGAGAATTAGGAGTTCGACGGAGGGTAATAGGTATGGAGGAAGGAAAAGGGGGGTTAAAAAAAAAAAGAAGAGAAAAAAAAAAAAAAAAAAAAAAAAAAAAAAAAAAAAAAAAAAAAAA